GAACAACCCAATCCAGGCCTCTTCCCCCTTGCTCAAACCCGCCTCTGCCCTCAGAGCCGCCGCACTCTCGATGGCCCTCACATCTTCTTGCCTTCTCCTGGGTTGCCCCGTTCGCATGCTGTTCCCGCCGTCCTCCTCCTCTCTGGTCTCAGCAGCAGCAAGATGGGGTGTGACACAGGCCTGCTGGACTCTCAGGTGGGTGCCTTTCTTGCTGCCGCTGCCCTGACTCACAGAGAGGGCAGAAGAGTAGAGAGGCGTCTGCCGGGAAGAGCAGGGTGGATGGGGGAAGGGAGCGCACCAAGACACGGAGCAGAGTCGGCACTGGGCCTACATCTGTACCCCTGCTTCCAATTCCGGGGCTCCAGAGCCAGGTCTCCCTCCACTGCCTGCCTGGGGAAGGCAGCTCTGGTTCTCACGCTGCACCAGCCGTGTTGCTTCTCCCCCCAGCAGCTTTGCCTGGCTTCCTCTCAAAAAATACTTTTTTTTTTTTTGGGTTACAATCTAAAAAAATTATTCAAGGGCTGCTGTGTAGCTCCACAGAGAGCATTTGCCTAGCATGTCCAAGGTGCTGGGTTCAATCCCCCACACTGGAAAAGAATTATTCAAGTGAGTGTAAATTACTCAAGAGAAATTGTTCAAATGAGCCTCTGGGAACCCCAGGCAGTCTCCAGAGAGTGGACACAGCAGGCGTCCCCAACGGGACACCCGAGGTGGCCAGTGTGCCTCCCACCGTGTGCCTCTCTGAGCCCCAGTTTCTTCAGCTGTCAGGGATCACAGCCCCAGCTGTGAGGGTGCTTGTGAGGCTTCAGGGAGTTAATGATCCCAGAACATTCTGGAAGCATCCAGAGTCTTCAGAGAAGCTCCAGCCAAGGGGAGCGCTCAGAGGGTCTCAGGGGCATCACCTGCAGGGTCCTGGCTCTCCCGGACTTGGCACCAGCTCACCTCCCTTCCCAAGGCATGTGGCTCAGTTGTGCTAAGGACAGCAGGGCTTGGGGCCAGGCAGACCTGGGGTCAAGCCCTTCACTGGCCACCGAGCTCAGCTCCACCTGTGCGGCGGGCTGTGGCCTCGGCAGTGAGGCTGGCCTGGTGGGAGAAGAGGCCCGAGTCGCTGCACATTCTCCTCCCCCCGTGCACCACACTCTTCCTGGCAGGTTTCTCTCTGCCCGTGGTTCCTCCAGGCACATTCTCAGCCTCTCAGGGAGCTGAGACAGTGCAGCAGAAAAGGTACATAGTCAAATGTCCAGAGTCTCTCCAAGGGGAAACTGAGGCCTGGAGAGGGGAAGAGATGTCCAGGAACACCTAACTGCAGGAGGAGAGTTTTGATCACAGCCTTGGCCTCCGCTTCCGCCCCCTCACATCCTTCCAGCAGCAGCACTAAGACCTTCCCGGATCTGACCCCAAATGCATGCCCTGCACCTCGCTCCTTGGGGCCCTGGCCCGCACCTGGCCACCTGCCCGTCTCTCCACCCACCTGGATCTTATTGACCTTGAAGGTCCTGTCCTCGGCTCTACAGTCCCCTCGTCCCACCCAGTTCCACCCAGTTCCTCCTCACCTCTCAGCCTGCCCCAAGCATGCCCCCTTTTCAGGAAGCTCCCTCCACTTGGCTGGATCACTTCCTCCCCGAGACTGCCCCAGACTAAACCTGCTTTTCCTGGATTTCCACTCCAAGTCTGTCTCCCTCCGCAGGCCAGGGCTCCGTGGGCCCGCTAGGGGTGTATTCCAGGCACTGCACAGAACCTGGCCCAGACCAGATGTCCAACACCTGCCACCCTGCCCTGCATCCAACCATCCTTCCCTATAACGCATTTATGGAGCACCTGCCCTGTGCTAGAGACCAGAAAACAGCAGCGAGCAGATGGACAGAGCCCTGCTCTGATGCAGGTGACGGGTCTAGTGATATGAGGTCAAATGTGCAGTCTCACTGTGAAAAGCCATGGTGTGGAAGGGGCTGGAGGAGGATGGTAAGAAAAGGTCTATCTGAGCACATGACCTTTGATCAGAGCTCTAAAGAAAGCAAAAGACAGAGTGATGGAAATGCCAGAGGAACAAGTATATTAGGGAGGACGCAGCAAGTGTAAAGGCCCCGAGATCAGAATACACACAGTATATTGGAGGACTAGCAAGAAGATCCTCAGTAAATGGGGGTGACAAGACCAGAGAGCAGAAAGGGAACTAGCAGGGGCCACAGCAAGGACTCTGCTCTGGCCCTGTAGGAATCAGGAGCTACTTCAGGGCTACAGGCAGAGAAGTGTGGGACCTGACCACAGTTCCAACAGGATCACTCTGGCCACTTGGTGAAGAGTGAGTTCTGGGGTTGAGAAGGAAGTGGGGAGACCCGTGGAGAAGCCGCTGCCCCATGCAGGCAGCAGGTGAGGAGGGCAGAGTCCAAGTGCTGATGAAAGTAGAGCCAATGGGATTTGCCAGTGGAGGAAATGGGGCAGGAGAGAGAAAGCAAATGTCAAGAAGGAGCCCAAGCTGAACATGGTGGCGCACGCCTGTAATCCCAGCACTTGGGAGGCTGAGGCAGGGGAATCCTTGAGAGTTCGAGACCAGCCTGGGCTACAAAGTGAGCTCAAGGCCAGCCTGAACTGCATAGTGAGACCCTGTCTCCAAAAGACAAAAAAAAAAAAAAAAAGAAGGAGCCCAAGGTTTAGGCCTGAGCAAGCAAAGCAGGAGGAGGTGGAACTGGAAGGCTTGGGTGGAGCAGGCTCAGAGCTGACATTCAGGAGGTGTTTGTGACCCACAAAGGTGGAAGCGCCCGCTGTTCACCCATGTGGAGGTGTCACCAAAGATGTGGGCAGGATGAGTCCGAAGTTTTTGAGAGGAAAATGCAGAGTGGGTGTGGCAGCTGCCCTACAAGTCCCCATGCCCTGCACATAGTAGGTGCTCAGGAAATGCCTGCTGGCTAAGCCTGCAAGGCCTCAGTCCAGCTCCTGGCTGCCAGAAGTGGACAAGGGGCCTAGAGCCAACCATGGAGAGTCACACCCTGAGGGACATGTGCAGCATCACAGCACTGCCGGGTGTCAGGGCGGGAAAGTGCAGGAAGGCCTCTTTGCCAACAGCGATGGGCACGCCGGGCAGGCAGGCGCTCCTGCTTTGGCTGGAGTGGGAAAGATGGGGAGAAAGGCCTCGGAGCCGGGGTTGATGGCTGGGCACAAAGCCCACCCTCGGCTCCAACTGTGGATCTGGGGCTCTGGGCAAGACGTTTAATCTCTGCAGTCTCTGTTGCTGCTCCTATAAAACAGGGAGAGCCAGCCAGGGATGGTGGTGCACACCTGTAATTCCTGCACTCTGGCAGGCTGAGCAGGAGAACTGTGAGTTCAAGCCCAGCCTAAACAAGGTGGTGATTTAGTGAGAACCTGTCTCAAAATAAAAAAATGAAAAGGGTGGGGGATGTAGCTCAGTGCAAAGGCCCTGGGTTCAATCTCCAGTACCATAAGGCAAAAAAGAATTACTCCTCCATTTGTAGATTGGTGTGAGAATCAAGTTAATCCACGCAAAGGCCACAGAAGGAGCGGTGCCGGGTGCTCAGTGCGTGTGACCTACCCACCGGAGCGGCCTCCAAAGGAAGCATGTGCTGGGAGGGGGGGCTGCAAGGGCAGGAAGAACAGGCGGCTAGGAGCCCCGCTTACGCTACAAAGAAGACTTGATTCCTTGGGAATCGAGCACAGAAAGCTCTGTGTGCAGGGACGAGGAGGTGTGCTTGCCTGTCCTCCACCACGCTCAGCAGGACACACCCCTCCCGGCCCAGGGCTCCCCACGGGCCCGCTGGGCTAGGGGAACACATGCCACAGCTGAGGCTGGAGGAGCCCTTCTCCGTGCCTTCGGAAGCCAGCGGTCCTCTCCCCGAGGTTGAGGCTGGCCAACTGCCATGACAAAGGAGGCACAGACTGCCACGGGGAGAGCAGGAGGCAGAGTTGGGTGCAGACTGGGCAGTGGGCTCGGCCGTTCCCAGCTGAGGCCGATCTCAGAGCGCTCTGAGAGTGGCCAGGTATCACACGGAGTGTCGGGGACTGTGGGTTCTCCCAGCGGGCACACATACACACCAGGCCTGTTTGCAGAGGAATAAAGTGGAGGTGGAACAGGTGAAAGTGTAGTACAGGTCACCGATTCCAAAGGCCCAAGCTGGGGCTTGGCAGGCATAACATGGAAACTTTTCTTTTCCTGGTACTGGGACTCGAATCCAGGACCTTCAAGCTGAGCTACATCTCTAGGCCTTTTTAAAATTTTTATTTCGAGGCAGGGTCTTATCAAGTTGCTAAATTGCCCAGGCTGGGCTTGAACTTGCAATCCTCCTGCCTCAGCCTTCCAGAGTGCTGGGATTACGGGCCTATGCTACCACTGGCTCACAGAAACTCTTGAACTTCCTTAAACTTGAGCCAGCTGCAGGGGTGAGGTGGATATTGAGGACCCCTCTGCCTGGAGCTTTTTTCCTTTTTGCTTTCTTCTGAGGGAGGAGACAATGGATCCCCCTTTCCAGCTGCCCTGAAACTTGTATCACAGGTCCCTTTACTTCTGTTCCCCTCCCATGTCCTTTCAAAGAAGTCTTTCATCCCAAGAAGTGTCCTGGCCCACAGGTCCCCAGCCCTGCCTGGTGACACACAGTCACCCCCAACCCTCAAGCCCAGCCAGGAGGGTGTCATAGCCCAGAACCTAGCTGAGCAACATACATTGTTTGCCGATGGGGCTGGTCCAAGGTCACTCCATAAAAATGGATTCCTGGAAAAACATAAACCACCAATGTACGCTGTGAATTTTATTGACCTTAAAAAAAAAAAAAAAAGCAATCTCATTTGAATAACGAAGAAAGAGAAACCATCCCTAGTTCTTCCTTTATTAGTGAGTAAGGACACAAAAACACTCCACAGAAACAGCCACAGGAAGCTTCCGGACCGATTTATCGGCCACTTTCCTTGCATAAAACCCAGCATTTCTATGAAAATAGGATGATACCCAAACGGTTTGCTTGTTTTTAAGAAAACTGTCTTTAACACAGGGCAAGACTTAGTTTTGCTTTTATTTCTTTATTTTTTTTAAATTTTTAAACAAAGCTGAGAGTCTCCTGACTTCATGCCTGCTCCTCCCGCCGGAGGGAAAGTGATTTCCGAATTCATCTGATAAATCGGGTTTCTCTGTGGCATCCACTTCATCGCTCAGCAGCCAGCCATGATGTCATAAGCCCATCAGATTTCCGGTAGGGGAAAGCGCTGGGGAATTGGAAAGAATGAATATTTCTTATTCGTCAGGTGCGGGGGGAGCATGTGTTTGGGAGGAGAAGCCTAGTGGCTGGCGGGGTCGGGGGGAGGCTCAGTGTTTGTGATATTAAATGTCAGGCAGAAACCTGAAAAGCCCAGCCACCCAGATGTTTTCTCCATATCCAGATGTCTGGCAGCACGCAGACCATGCCCCCCCCTCCCCGTCCCAGGAGGCGCTCGACATTTCGGCTTTGACCTCAGGTCTCTGGCGAGTGTGCGCTGCCAGGAGCTGCACACCCCTGGGGCTGCCCACCCCTGGGCTGGGAATCTTTTTCTCTAAATCTTTACACATGGATGACAGGAGTAACTAGGTCCAGATTTTTAAAAGCTGTCGAAGCAGTGATTTTAAAAGTTCAGTGCTTGGAATTAGCTTCCCCAGAATACACTATGCAAGCCAAAAAGGAGGGGGGAGAAATCCTTCAGCCAACACACACACAAACATATGTGACTCTCAAGCCACAGGGCTTAAAAACTCAAAACAAAACCAGCAAGTCTGGGAACAAGGACTGCGGCTGACACGGAGAAGAGAGGAGGCTCCCCCAGGGGCCCGCCTCCCCCAAATCAGAAGAACACGGAACAGCTTTGTTCTTCCTGACAAAGCCCCTCGCTTCCAAGGCACCGACATTGCCAACAAAGGCACAGGGTAGAACTAATTTACGCTCACACTCGGCTTGGAGGAGTCGTAAAGTACATCAGGAAACAGCCTTGCTGGGGAGCACACCTCCCCCCCACTGCGGCAGGGACCTCCCAGGCCTGGGGAGCTGCAGACAGGCAGGGTCCTGGCCTCCTGGTGGCCTGGCCATGCGCCCTGCGGCGGCCGCCACCTAGACCTGTGACATCACAGCTAATTGCCCCTGAAAATGAGCCAGGAACTGCCAGCCCCTCGGGGCCACAACCCTGAGACTGCACAGAGAGCCCGAGGAGGGGGACAAGTCCAATTAAAACCGAGCGTTCAGATGGCACAGGAACGGGGTGGCCGCCGAGGGGACAGCGTGTGGCAGAGGACAGGAGGAGGTACGTGGGGGCTTTGGGCTCTGTGCCCTCACTTCCTACAACAACCCCTATGTTTTACAGATGAGGAAATTGAGGCCAAGGTGACTGAATGGCCTGCCCAAGGTCACCAGGCTAATTAGCCGGACAGCCGGTGTTCGCGAGGAGAAAACACAGGTCTTGCTTTGCCCAGCTCTTCCCTGAATGTCCTCTAATTTAATCCTCACAACACCCTGTGAGGCAGAGATTACCATTAACCCTGGGGTCCAGAGGAGCCAACAGAGGCGCAGAGAGGTTAAGTCATTTGCCCAAGGTCGCACAGCTCATCATTAGCAGAACTTGGCCTGAACTTCTGAGTCACCTGACTCTGAATCCAATACTCTTTCTGCTGGGAGGGGGGAGGCAGTTGAAGTTGAACTGGGAGCAGTGAATCTGATTTAAATACACATTTAAAATGCTGGTGATCCCCACAGAACAGAAGGGAGTAAATCATTGCAAATTAATTTTTTTAAAGCCATTCCAGGCAGAAGGGCTGGATGGCCGGGTGGGTGGGTGGGGAGGCTGCTTTTATTCTGTCCCTGCCAGAGCCTGAATAAAGCAAGGAGCCGGTCTCTCTAGCCGTGTGTGGCAGCAGCTCAATCCCCTGAAGTGGGGCGGGGCAGAGGGGGATGTGATAAAAGCTTTGTCGGGCATCCGAGAGAGCATAATCTGCCACAGGAACGGTGCCAGGCGCACAGGTCTGATGGAGCCAGGGGAGGGAAAAATTCACTGTGTATGGAAGCCGCAAAAAATATAAAGAACTTGGCGCCTCTGCACTGGACTCATCTTTGCAGCTGGGAGCTGCAAGGGGCCGTGGCTCACCTAAGCAGCTGTTTGGGGCCCAGAGGCTGACCTGGGGCGGGGAGGTGCCACCCAAGGTCTTGCCCACCCAGCACTGGGGGAAGCAAGGAAATCACTGTGGCCCTGTCCCTGCTGACTACCACCTTCTCCCAGACTAGCGCTAGAAGGAAGCAGCTTCCACGAGCTAGGACAGAGGGATGGGGACAGGCCAGTCCCCAGGCCTCCCAGGGGACCCACCTTCCCCCCAGCGGGCAGCCTTGGCGCTGCCGTGGGCTGTGCACGCCAGGCTCTCCCCTCCCTGCCTCACTGCGCCTGCTGGTTTCTGCCATCAGCAAATGGGGTGTGGAGCCCAGGCCTCGGGCCAGGGAAGAGGAAAGAAAAGTTTCTGCCATCTGGACATCTGGCCAGGCTGCGCAGCTCCTGTTTTTCTGGGGAAATCCTACTCATCCTTAATTTGCTTTGCCTGCCACCCACCCAAAAGAGATCCAGGTCCTGCCATCATGGCTGTGACAACCACAATCGTCCATGCTCAGAGTGGGCCCCAGGCTGTGGGGAATCCATCAGGGTGGAGGTGTCAAGGTAGAGAGGGCTCCACTGGCCCCGGGCATGAGGAGCACTAACACCTCAGAGTCACTGTCACCCCTACAGAAAGGCCTTCTCTGACCACCTCCCCTCCCTCATGTCACTGTCCCCTTGCTGACTATGTGCTGTTTGTCACTAAATCCCTGCACTGGTCTGGAAGCCCTGTAAGGAAAGATACGGGGTCTGTCTTATTCCTTGCTGAGTTGTCCATGCCTGGTACACACTAGGTGTAGTTATTTGATGGCTCTTTCTTCATGAGAAGCATACACAACACATGCAAAGACCCTCCGGCGGGAGGTCTCACAGAGACTGGAGGGCGTGGGCGTAGGAACGGGGCAAAGAGCACAGAGAGTGATGGAAGGTGGGACTGAGCCTGAGATCCAGCCTAGACTTGCAGGTATCTCCCCACCTAGGAACGGGATCTCCCTCCGCCCTCCCCTTTGGCACAGTCTGAGCTAGCGGGTCTTCCTTCCCCATAGGAGAGGGGCCTGCCACATCAGACCTGGCCTCAAACCTCTGCCCAAGGAACAGCAGCCCTGGCTGGGGACAGAGCAGGTGGGCACCCGTATCCCCTGCCCGGCACCGTCTGTTACTACATTCCTGCCTCCATTCATTCATTCCCCGGCCCAGGGCTACAGGACCACCGGAAGCCACGGGAGCAGTGGCAAGTAGATGCAGGGCCCAGCCAGGGCCTCCCCGCACACCCTGAACCCCCCTGCACACCCCGCACCCCGTCCCTTCTGCACCCCGCCATGCTTGGCCCCATCCTCCTCACTCGGGCAGGGCGGAGGGAAAAAAGGAGCCTGAAGGCAGGCGGTAGTCCTGCCCTCTCTGATTTCCAGAGTGAGACTGATTCTAAGTCGGCCCCTCCGCCTCTCAGATTCCCCACAGGGAAGGTGAAGACACCTTGGGCGTACAGCCAGGCCTGCTGGTGGGAGCAGGTACTTGGTGCGCCGGTTCAAAAGACTCAAAAATGAGTTCCCTCTGGACTAGATTCACAGCCTCCCCAACTCCTCCCACCCGGGCTGCGGAGGCTGGCAGGAGGCACAAGAATTCCAGCAGCTGAATGTGGGGCATGGAGCCCCCCCACCGGCGGGGGTCGCCTCTGCCCGGGGGAGGTGGCTGCGGGTGACAGGTGGCGCAGCGCGCGCGTCCGGCCCCCTGCTCCCCACGAGCCGGCGGGACGCGCTCCGCAAACTTTCCGCGCCTGGGATCCGCGGCGTCTACACCAGCTGGGGTTCTAGGCGGCGCCTCCGCCACCTGCGCGGGTCTCCACCGCCTCGCCAGTCCCCAGGTCGCTGAGGGTGCCTCCATCCTAGCAGCGCGTCTCCGCAGGCGCCCCAGCCGCGAGTCCACCGGGGCTGCCAACCCTCGCCTTGGGCATCAGTCGTGACCACTGATGTCAGAGACGCCTCAGGCGCACCACTCGCGCTCGTCTACGCCGCCTCGGCAGCCCCCGGGTCACCGGCGATGCCCGTGCCCAGGGCCGCGTCTACGCCGCCCACCGCTCACGCGACCTTCCGGGAGCGACCCGGGACGCAGCCTCCGCTCAGCGAGGCGACGCGCGCGCCCTTCCCGGGGACCCCGCGGGGCGCAGCGCGCGGGCGGCTGCTTACCTCGTCCGTGCCCTCACGCCCCTGTCCTGCCGGAGTCTCTTTCACACATTTGGCAGTGTTGTCGCTGGAGAAAGGAAATGTTATAAATCCTCCTGCGCCACGTGGCTGGCCCCAGCCCCCTCTCTGCTTTTTTCCGCCTTTAGGACAATACTCGGCCCCCAGGCCGGCCGCGGGGCCCCGGG